CGAGAATTAAACACGAACTGGGATACACTGCCTCAAATAGAAATTCAGGTAGCCCAACGATTAAAACAGGATTAATTCAAAGATTTAAAAGTCTAAAGGTGAATACAATATGGTTTAATAAAATGCTTGAAATAAAATGCTCAACATCTCCCAATCCATAGGAACTAATGACAGAGCGCAGAAATCCATAAATTTTCCCTATAGACATCCATTTCTTCAACCCTCTTGCCTGTTTGACGAGTCACAGTTTATATTATATAGTTGCACGCAGTTGGCAGGATACCTTGGACCTAAGTTTCGTCCTAGTTGACACTCGTCAGCAAGGCGTATCGGCTATTTATTATTTTAACAGATAACAACCATGTGAATAATAAATCGACTTATTACTTATCCTGTTTTTATTCTTTTAACAAAGTTCTCGAAGAAAAAACTCTCAAGGTTTAGATCTTATTATTAAGAAATGCTGATGTAGTGAATTATACTGATAGTGAAACAGTCTTAACCAAATAGTGATACTGGAAAATATCGAAAAATTAATATATCCTCATTACAAGCCAACATTCCACCGTTGTTATACAGAACATCATATTTCCGTTACAATAATATAGAAGTCGGTGGCATAGCGGTTAGGACGCTCGCCGACCATGCGCATGGTCCGGGGTTCGATTACCGGCCGCCGACGAGGCACTCTTTTACCTCGCTAAACCAGTAATAAGAATGGTAAAGAGGGAAGGTTGGGCATGAGGCTAGCAACCCCATCCTGTAAAATAAACACGGCCATGGAAACTTCAAGCCACTAGCTTGAAGCCCTATGTTCCACTGGGGAACGTTAAGGAAGAAAAATACAGAAGTCCAATGACTGAGCAAATAATTTGATAGTAAAGTCTTTAATTTCAGTGGCAGACTACATGTAATTCAGCCTATGAGGGCAGACTACTTCTTTCTAGATTGAAAATACTCTCAGTTGACCAGAATCTATAAGTATAAACTAAGGACCAGAACCTCCTACCAACCGCTTCCATCCATCTAACAGTTTTCTAGTTCACCGTAAGTATATCCAAGTGACAGTCTTCTCACAGTTAACAACACTATTGATTGTGGCACATATTTTTATCAAAACAATTAGTCCCTTTGATAAATTTGAATAAGGCATTAAGAAGACAAATTTCGCGAGATGATATCATTTCGTAGTTTCTTTAAAACCGCTTTACAACTAATATGGTTAACAATAATAAAATAAAGTTCGTGACAATTACTCAGTTAAATAAAAAACAAAAGTACATACTAATGACCAATCATACTTATATAGGTCATGTAGTCCATGGTATGCAAAGATTGAAGTCTATTGTCACAGTAAAGAAAGACCACATCTCGAAAAGACAGCTTCTGTACCAAAGAAAGCTATCTTTATTAACCTACTATTCAAGGACGACCAGATCATGCAGTTGACAGCTGAAAGACTTCGGTCAGTCATCAAACGCACAGTCTACATCATATCTCTTTTTCTCACTTACCAAACTTTTTCGATCCCTGTATCTACCTACGATTAAAGGATGAAATTCTGTGGACTCTACTCCAAACTGTATCTACACCTATATAGGTAGAACCAACAGACTGTTTCAATGTCGAGGTCGAAAAGAACATGTTCCAAAACGGCTACTAAATCATATAGAAAATCCTAGTGCGATTAATCTGAATAGAAATCCATCATCATTCATTGCAAAACACTTATTAATGTCAGGTCACAAAATCAACCGATATTAATAACTGTTTCACAATTATTTCACCACATAACTCTAATTCAAGGTTATTGTAGGTGATGCAAGCCCTTTGGGGGATTAATCATATACATCCTAAACTGTGTGTACAAAAAGCAATAGACCTCAATCTTCGCCTACCATGGACTACATGACCTACTTAAATATAAGTGGTCATCAGTATGTACTTTTGTCTTATATAACTGGGTAATTGTCATGCATTTTATTTTGTTATTATAGTTAACCATGTTAGTTGTAAAGCGGTCTTAAAGAAACTACGAAATGATATCATCTCGCGAAATTTGTCTTCTTAATGCCTTATTCAAACACATTTTTATGTCTAAATTTACTAGTGAAGACGGTATTAGGTTTCAAACAAAATTTCTATCAAATTAGACCGGGTGACATAAAGTAACGAATGAAGAAATCTTATTTCATACATTTATTCCCCTTAATGAATTTGAACAAAGAAAGAACTACAGTTTTAGCAGAATAAAATGGTACCATCTTTTATTTCGTTGCCTTCTCGTCAGCTGCTTACATGGCAAAGACATTATTAAATATATCTACAACAACAATTTTAACATACTTACACAGAGTTAAGTTTAAACAAAAATCAATCGATCAATATACTCATACACTAAAAAATATACATATATAAATATGCAATATTAACCACTATTCCGAACAATAATAATCAAACACAATGGAAACTCTTAGCATTTCACATTCGGAGGAAAGAGAGGTGAAATTATCCAGTTACCAGGGCAAAGAAAGACTGATAACCGCTTCTTTCTGGACGCATAAACCAGGTTTCAGGCGCTTGATGGAAATGGCTTCAGTAAACTTAAGGAGAATTGAGCTATTTTGCTTATTGATAATTTTGAACGACTTTTCGACGTCCACCTCATGAACCGTGTCTAGAAGATGCCTGGTGATGGGACTGTTTAAAGCATTTGTTCCCGTTAGACGTAAGCTTTTTGGTACATGTTCAGAAAATCGTAGATATGCCCTTCTTTCTGTCCTTCCAATGTAACTGCTCCCACAGATACATGTAAATTTGTCTTTACCATGTAAGCAGCTGACGAGAAGGCAACGAAATAAAAGATGGTACCATTTTATTCTGCTAAAACTGTAGTTCTTTCTTTGTTCGAAATCTTATTTATTCATTTTTCACCTTAACTCATAATCACGAACTTTTACTCTAATTAGTAATCATATTAGTACCTAACAAGGTTGAAGAGATTTTCTTAACTACATTGCAACAAATAATAACCCTTGTGAACGGGATAATTTCACAAAACAAAAAGCACCTAAAACCCTTCATCTCTGTTAAAAATAATTGAAGATAACAACACAAGAATCAGTTCAGTGAGGGGACTTTTCATTGACAAGGTCAGTTTCACAGGTGATATGGTCGTATTTGTACTGACCAAATAGTATAACAATCTGCTTATTATTGAATATGAGGAGTTAGCGATGTCATCGATGCAATGAATGACCGCGAAGAGTTTTCTAGTGTTTGGAGGAATGAAAGTTACACAGCAGTCAACAAGTCATTTCATTGATAGTAAATGTTTCAAAATTCAACAGGGTGGAAATCAGATGAGAAGCAATTTAACCGGCTTTACTTAACACTGTGTGAAGAAGGCGATATTAAAATTGCTGACAGGGAAAGCGTGCCAAATAAACATCGAAAAGAGATAAATGACAATTATTTCATGAAAATATTATCCATAAATTAGAAAGGATCTAAGATCGTGGTCGAATAAGAGAGTCAACCAACAGTTACTCACTGATCTGCAGAAGCCTCAACGACAAGATCCCTCATCTGACCAATTCTATATTCATACACCAGTTCACCTGCTGCTGTGGAACCAGGCACATTGGTCGTTTGACGCGCACTATCCCGCATGGTTGCGAAACGGCAATAGTGGAGCAATCAAGAGTGCGAAAATTGAACACCTGGTTAACACTGATCATTCCATCTCAACAAACGCCTTCCTCAAAGTAATCTACAGACTCAAGAATATACTACCAAAGGCAATACGGTTTCGTCTCCTTTGTATCGCTGAAGCTCTGGCCATTCACATAAAAAAAGTGGAGCTGTGCATACAAAAGAGGATTACTCAAACACTTCTATTGTCATGGTAACAACTCTGTTGATTTTGATGATTTAATTTTGTTTCTTTGTCTGTTCTTTAATTGCTATAGTTCTTCTATTCATTTAGAACTCTTACGTAATTTCGTATTATCTACTTTGTTCCTATGTGCATCCTCAGTAAAACTAACTCATCAAACTATTCAAATTATTACATAACTTCTTCTTAGAAACTGTTTGTGACAACTCATCATCTTTGTTAATACCATAATTTCATTAACACCTATTTTTCTTGACCTGTATTACCAACCTTCACCTGTTTAGTTAAAAGTAACCTTAACCAATTGTAGTTTTGTTTGACAAACTTAATGTACACACACATACAAAACAATGCATATATATTTGCTATTGTGCAGCTAAGAAAATGAATTCGCCGAAAAGAGACTCTTCGCTGATCTACGTGTTTTGTTTTCATTAATGCCTGGATGGGGATTATCCATGAACAGTTTTGTACACAGAGTCCCAGTCTGAACTGATAAAGGGTTAATGCCTCCAGCGTGAACAACTGTCTCAATCTAACTATTCTTGTACTTTGATGTCTTACACTGTAGATAATCTCAAAGGAGGACTTTGGCGGAAGTGTTTGACTTGAATTGACTTCCCTTGATTTCTTCATATCCATACCAGATGGTATTATAAATGCACTTTATGAATCCTATATAATTAGCTCCACAGAAGCGTATATTTTTATTTATTTATTTATTTTTTTTTTGATTTACAGCTTGATTCCACACTGTATTTTTGGTACAAGTATGGAATTTTCAGCATGGATATCGGTAGCCCAAATTTCGCAGGCCGACCATAGATATCAGCGGGACCCGCGGCACCCGACGCATTTTCAACCCTTACTTACACTAACTCGTTGAGTACTACGTAATTCCAATCCTGTTATCACTACAAAACACTTTGTGGTCACTCCTTTCTATCATTCAATAACAGACTGTTATAGGTTTTAGTGAATATGAACATGACTGTTCAGCGTCTGAGGCTTGTTTAATCGATGCAGACAATTTTCATTAAAATGCCTAACATTCTCTCGCTTACTCCCAGCACCCACTGGTATGAGATAAAAGAAAAGAGTATTATTGATTTGTGTTTATATATTTTGCAATATGATAACCAGTATTACTGTCATCATTTATATCTTCTGTAAAAGAAAATCAGGACAGCAATGTTTTGAGTCATTTTACCCGCCAGTTCTTTCAATTCCCCATTTTCTATTCATAATGAATAAACTGGTGGAATTGTTATTGACAGATAGTTTGTTTTATATTTCTTCTGCTTCAATGTTAACTTACTTATATAGATACCGGTGGATTAATGTGTATATATGTAACTTATATACATCTATGCATGCGTATATAAGTAAGATATTTTTGCTGCAATGCAGTGTGTAATGAATATCCGTGTTATCCTTTCAGTGTACTCGACCTAAATATATATATATATATATGTATATATAAGATATTCGTGTATCTTTTTCTGTTCAGTAAATGACGATGAAACTGAAATTTTTAAACGACAGTATTCATTTTGTACAATGTTCAATGCTTCTTGAAACTCGATTGGTTGTCTTTATTGAATACATTGAATGGTACGTATTAGAGATATTGAAACATTTCTGTTTATTTCAGCATTTCTCTTCTTCTACTACTATTATTGTTATTATTATTATTAATAATAGATGAATTATTGTTTTCTTTGCTTTTTACATTGATATTCCCTTTTTCAAAATGTCGACAAAATGATGGGGAAAAGAAGAAGAAGAAAAAGAAACAGAAATCATAAATGATTCAATAAATTTTTAATGAACTCATTTGAAGAGTAAAATGCTGAAATTACTGAGTTGTATTATTTGAAGAATAAGTGAAATTTTGTCAGTTGATTTAAACATTTTAAAATGGAGTGGTAATTTTATTTTAGTGACTATTTAAAGTGAAGAAAGGTGGATGTCGTCGGGAGTCTATATGCCAAAATCCTGCTGATATTTGAAATGTTTAAGAAATATCATGATAGGAATTTAACCAGTGCAGTTTAACCAGCAAACAGGAAAGTGAATAACGATAGTGGACAGCTATGGACCTGAAAAAAGTTGTGCACTTGTTGTGTTCAGGTTCTACTCTTGTCTTCGTGTTTGTATCAGAAGTGAGATACTCCAAGATAAACTGGAGTACCAATGTGTTAGACTGTATCAAGTTGTCAATTATTAATTCATACATAAATACTGTACAGCGAATGCATATAAGAGAGTGGTAATAGTAACAGTTGTAACTATTTGTATAAGCCGTGTAAAGAGGTACAAGCTCTCTGGCTTGGGTCATCGAGATGCCAAGAAACAATGGTTGGAGTCTTTTGGAAATGTGACTGAAATCCCTTTCAAAATGATGCAGATGTATTCACTCCTTGTTATCATATAGATTCTGAAAATCTTCCCTATTACTCACCTAATTATTGTCTGTCGTATGGTATGGTATCTATTTATTTATATTTTTGATTACAGCTTGATTCCACACTGTATTTTTGGTACAAGTATGGAATTATCAGTGTGGATATCGGTAGCTCAAATTTTGCAGGCCGACCATAGATGTCAGTTGTGCGTCGGCGAGGGCTCGAACCTCGGACCATGTGCATGGTCGGCGAGAGTCCTAACTACTGTGCCGCCGACGTACATTTTTTTCCTATACTAATCTATATAATTCTTCAAGGTATGGTAAGATGAACTTTCGACGTTGATTAGTCTGCCGTAAAGCTGGAATTAGACGAACGTGCATTAGTTCAGCTGATTTTGAGCCAAATCATTTATTTTTTATAGTTTGGTTTGTAAGGGTTATTTTTGTTTCAGGCGAGTTGATCATGGATTGATATCAGTTAGAGAACCATTGAAAACCAGCACTCGAGTACTGGACAGCTGTTTCGTCAGCCTAGTTTAGGAATCATCGGCAGTGCTCATCCACTGGGTTTCGAACCCAGCACCTTCTGGTTACGATGCAAGCTAGCTCGTATACCATTCAGCCACTGAGACCCGATTCAATGGCCACTACATGAATTCTAACTTCTACCAATTCGTGATTTAGCGCGACCCCAACCATTGTCGTAGGTGGGACATCCATCCTCACACGTGACATCTAATTGGACCTCACTGGTCACGACTTCTCACTAGAACTCAGGACACTCCATGCTGTAGCAAGTCACTAGCGAGCAGCTGTTCAGTACTCCCTGGTTTCCAATGATTCTCTAACTGGTATCAATCCGTGATCAACTCGTAAAAACAAATCATTTATGTTACCACCCAAAATCCAAATGGAAAACACACACTCCTTTAATTGATTTGGAGAAGCAGTCGGAAACTTCTTCTGTTCTGTCATGTTTTCCTGTGATCATGTCCCATTTCTTCCCACTTTTATCTTAGTTTCCCCACTGTTGTTGATAAGAGAGCATCTGACATCTAGGTCCAAAAGTAAACCAATAAAAATAATTCTGTACTGATTTGACTTGCACTCAAACTGACAGAAAACCAAATGATTTTCTTTATTAATTTGCCTACTATCCAGTGGAGAATTATATGCCCTATTTTATACATTCACAGTTTTGTGTGTTAACCATACTTTCCTGTGTCTGTCTGTGTATTGTTCTCCGCTAATTTGTTGTTTACTCATCTATACATTATATAAACACGGCTACTTTTTTTAGAGCTTATGTTATACATTAGTGATTACTTGTGAATATTTCTCATGCTGCATTTTAAATCGGGTGTATTCCACAGCTTCATGAAAGAGTTTAGAAGTGATCATACATTGTACTGGCTTGTTTGTCTTATTCAACTTGTCAGTTTAACTGTTTAATTCTCTTTAGATTATGAAATCACTGTTGATAGCATTGCATTTACTCCTTTTATTTTATCTACTGTTAACTGACTGATGGATCAGAGTAAAATTTCACAAAATGTACACTAGTTCGAGTTACCAAATTTTCAAAACCACATGAAATTAAATTTCGGAAGCAGAATAGAACTGTAAACAGAAAAAACATGAATAATACAGAGGGAAAAATTATATGAGGACAAATGAAGGTTCTCATGATACTATAGTTAGCAAGAACTGGATACATCTCTGCACTGTGGTGAACAGTTGTGAATCATACCACCATACGTTTCCAGTCATCGATTGCAGGTTTCCTTAAAACCCCAGTCAGGCAACTCACACCCATTTGTGTGGCTTAGACTTCATGGATTAGTGACACCTTTCATTCTAGTGACCTTCAGCTTTTTTCAGAACCACTTGTCAGTAGTTGGTTTGTAAGGCAGCACATTGGTTAGGACTGTTGCCGACTATGCAAATAGTCCCAGGTTCGATCCCCTGCCGACTCACAGCTGCAAAATTTGGGCTACCGATATCACATGCTGAAAATTCCATACCCGTACCAAAAAATACGGTGAGGAATTAAGCTGTAATACAAAAAGGATTAGATTTGTTTCTACGAGTTGATCATGAACTGTTATCAGTTAGAGAACAATTGAGTGTGAGGATGGATGTCCCACCGATGACATTGGTTGATGGTTGCGCTAAATCACGAACCAGTAGGAGTTAGAAATCATGGGCCATTGAATCGGAACCCAGTGGCTGAATGGTCTGCCAGATTGTATCGTAGCCAGAAGGTGCTGGGTTCGAACCCCAGTGGGTGTCTCCTGCCGATGATTCCTAAACTAGGATGAAACAACAGCTGTCCAGTACTCCAGTGCTGGTTTCCAATGGTTTTCTAACTGATAACAGTCCGTGATCAACTCGTAAAAGCGAAATGTGTTTCAGTCTGTCAATAAAGACAGTAGTCAGGCATGTTAATATATGTGTAAAACTTGGGCACTGTGGTAGTAAGTAATTCCATTTTGGTTTGTTTATTGGATGTATCACACAGTGAAACATTATGACTTACTGGATGAGGTTTTGAACAAAATTTATTGTTCACAATCATGTCAATTATAAACACACGACTTCGACAACGCACCAACAATAGGGAATCTAAATCATCAGTAGTAATTCCATACAAGGAAGGAACCTCGGAAACCAGCTTACGCAGAATTCTCAACAAGGCAGGAATATAAGTGGCTGGCACTCAAACCAACCACAAACTCAATTAGAAGCAAGCTTTGTCGCCTAAAGTGTCCCGTGAAGCCAATTAAACAAAGCAATTTAGTTTATCCGATACCCTGCAGGAGGTTGTCAAGTCAAATACATAGGTCAAAGTAGTAGAACGGGGGCAGTCAGACTAACCGAGCATAAAAACCTAGCAAAATCTAGATGGGTTAACCCAAATAAGATAAGAAATCTAGAGAATAGTTCAGCAGTAGATAGCACTACATGCAGTTATACACAACCATACAATAGGATGGATGGGGTAAGATGACAGTTGTGAAATCTAATGTAACTGGATATAGGGAGAGGCTGATCACAACGAAAGCTTTGTTTATCGAATCAACTGAATGAAAATACGTTTAATAGGAATGATTCAACACCTGTCCAGTGGGATATCTGGAAAATTCTACTACCCCAACGACGACAAATAGGAGAGAACAAAGAAAACTATGAGACTCAAGTTTCGAAGTAGTGTGATTATAATTGATGATATGCTTATGAACAACGATAAATTTTGTTCGAAACGTCATCCACTAAATAATACTATTTCGCTGTGTGATACACCTAATAAACAAACTTATATGAAGTTAAACATTTTTATTTACTAGTCACTGTAGAGTAAACACTGTCTTATCGTCTCTTCCACCTTGCCAACAGAAACGTACCAGAAAAGTTTTCTAATGTTGTCATCGAGCAGAAAACTCACTACTGCAGTAAACCTGAAACTTATGTTAGATGACTGAAGGCAATCAGTAGAAATTCTTGAACTTTAGGTCCCTTGCTTATCTACAATTGTCAGCAAGGGATTTCTACAATCATAAACAAGGCGATGAGTGAAGTACACTTGTATGTCATATAGAATATCTCATTTTTAGTTGAATGGTTATGAAAACACCATGTTGAAAAGTACCTTCAGCCTCCTGCTGATTTCATATTAGATAAGTTTATCTTAAATAGCACACAATGATACAGTACTGATTATTGGATAGTTGTTTCCAGCACAATTTATTTCCTCATA